AATCAACTAAACTTTACAGCACTTCACAGAAACCTCCGCTGCTTACTAGTGTTTTGGAGGTGTAACTGCAGAGTGACACAGACACACCACCGCACAAGTATAAATGCTCACAACAGCGTAGGCTACGGCGTAGGGTCTGCCACATGAGTACAAATCCAGCTTTAGGAATGAATCAACTACGCTCATTGTCATACATGATCCGAGCCAACACGGTACGGCACTGCGTTGAGCTATAATCGGGCTGATATCGTGTAGTGTGTATGCGGCATTAGACAACTGTTTTGTCAGTTAACCTTGTGAGCTATGATGGAGCCAAATTTTGTAACATTACTTTTGTTACATGACGCTGTTGTTCAGGCTTCATATGAGTAGAGGAAAAGTCTGCTAGCAGCTAGGCTGATTTAAGCAATGGGAAATGTCATAGTTGTATGCTAAATACATTAGCATGTTGTATTTGTGGGGAAAACATGTCTAGTATAAGACAGTTGTTCTGTCTGTGAACTTTGTGAGTTATAATGGAGCAGACAAATTAAACGTTGCAGAAGATCAAAACAGAGACATAAAGGTTCCACCGCCATCTAGTGTTTTGGAGGCGTAAGTGCAGAACGACGCAGACACACCATCCAACAAGTATAAATGCTCATTACAACACAGGCCACTTGTGTAAGCTACAGCGTCAGCTCTGCGTAGAGCTTTATTACAAATAAAAATCAGCCTCAACCTCAAGTCTGGTTTAAGTTTAAGTGGTCTTGACTACAACACTGCCCCCAAGGGTTAGGAATTAGTGGAGTAACAGGCACTCAGTTATCAGGTCAGCTGAGTCGGAGAAACAGTTTCACTTGAGAGGCAATTTGTAGCTCTGGTTTTTAATTAAGATTCATTGTTCCTTTCTTCTGTACTTAAACTAATGTGAGACAGCTGAAATTAGATTTTTTTTTTTTTAGCTTTGTAATGTTCACAGCCCTCCGTTGACCCTGTAATGTGATCAATAACATTAACATTACATTGTTTGGTATGAAAGCAACATTTTGAAGATTTATGAGAATGTGAAAAGAAACCACTGTGACAGCTTGTGGGAACATTACTGAGACAGATATGACACTACATCAGTGTCTTTGGCACACAGGTTTTATGGGGCAAACACATATAAAACTTAAGTATTTATGTCATTTTAATTATTTTCAGCAGAAGTAATTTCTAACTGATTTTAAATACTTGATCAACACATATTTTTTTACTGAGTGAACCCATTCTTCAAATATGAACTGTGACCGAAATAAAATATGTTTTCTTGAGTTCGTCTCTCCTAAACGACAAGTGAACTCACCACGGCTGCTCAAAGTGCACTTGCATCCTGAACCGTTAAAAGTCCAACGATCAATCAATCAATCAATCAGCACAACCAATAAATAGAATATGAATAAATAAATACAAATAAATAGTTGACCATTAAAATCTCCACTGCGGTGCTGCTGTGAGCTGAAGCAGTTCACTCCTCTGATCTGTCCCGTTCATCTCTGCAGAGACAAACCAGACTCTGATCGTTTGGTTTTTTTTAAACACTCTTCTCTCCCAGATTCGTCTCCACTACGAGTGTGCGCAGAGTCCAGAGAGACCGAGCGAGTGCGTGTGTGTGTGAGAGTGTGCGTGTGCGCCTCAGACAGCCGTCTCCAAGTCTTCGTGGGTGGCAGAGGACGTGTGCTGTTGGGCGTTCAGGAAGGTGGCGAGCTCCGAGTCTCCCTCTGCTTGGTCCGCTGGTGTCTTCCCCTGGTGGACACACACACACACACACACACACACACACATACACACTGTCACTAAAGTAAAACGGACAACTCCTTTCCCAATAACCATTTTTTCAACAAGGAAATTTACCAGAACTGAAGCGGACGTATTTAAATTGTCTGACCAACGGTGCAAAACTGAAACATATCCAGTTTCTCACACAGAAAAATAAGACAAGCAGGAAATCGTCACTTTTCAGAAGCTGAACCAACAAATTGTGCTTTTGCTTTCAAAAATGACCCCACAGCCGCAACGACGTCCTGACGGCTGCTATTGAGATAAAAATGTATGCCTGAGTTTGAAGATGCCCGTGGTCAGAGCGAGGAGGTCGGAGGTGGGGGGGGTTTGAATTAGGGAATTAGGGACCGTTGCCCCGCCACTTTACGCCTCTGGCCACCACTTGTTTTAAAATTGCAGATTGATGCAGTGGTGTCCTGTGGGCACTGTGCGTATATTTTTTTCAATGATTCATCATCCTATCTTGAAAATAAAATTGTGACAAAAGCAGCAGTTCGTGTCTTTGAGTTGCTTTTCACTGATGAATGTGCCTGAGATGTAATTTTTCGCAGCGACCACTGTAAATGACCCGGAAAGTGGAAGGTTTCAAATTAAGTTAGGTTATTGAATAAAATGTTTAATGTTTGTTTTGAAGGTTTATGAATTTTGTATTTTCTTCCAGTGGGGTCATGGGCTTTTATTTTGAAGGTTGGGGTTACCCTTGACTCCTTGTTTTACCGGATGCTAGAGGCTACACACCTTTTGGCGTTAATTACCAAACCTTTCCCTGTGGTTTGTTTTTGAGCTCGGCTCCCTTTGTTTCAAGCCACATGTAAGTGTTTCGCTGATATGGAAACAAGGTATGTGAAATCTGATTGTAGGATTGTTTTATTGTATGATCATCTGAAAATGCACAGTATTGGGATCTGCGTTTGGTGTTTGACTGTGACGGGGTGTTTTGTTTATATTGTATGTCAACATACCGTCATATGCTTTGTTAATGTGCCAACATAATTTTACATAGTTATACGGTTTATATTTATTATTATTTGTGGTATGGAAATGTGTTAAGGTTTGTTTTGTTGTTGCGTTGTGGATCATCGTTCCTGTGGGCTACAGCAACACTAAACCCCTGAGCTTGCCTGAGAAGGACTAAATGCACAAAGCTGCTATTTTTAAATATCCCATGGAGAGAAACTCACACTGCAGCCTGTTTTATTTATTGAAAATGTCGGCGTGCAGCCTCGTTCTGTGGACGATAAACGAAGTGCAGACTGATAAAGGAGGAAATACAGTGAGTGCTAGACGGAGCAGTGAGTGACAACAACCCCGCCCACATTCTGTTTGTGGTGGAAACACTAGGGTAGGTAAACGGGGCCTAAGTCTCTCGATCCATTTCTTTTTTGGAACCCTGATTTCTCCTTCTTGGGAAAAGACATGACGTTGTACGTTGGCGCTCCGGCAGCATGAGCAGTCAGTCACTCGGCTTAAGCTGTGTTTAGAGATGAATCCTAGTGCAGGGGCGGACTAAACCATTTGAGCCTTTAAGGGGAGAGAGGGGCCTCAGAGAGCGTCCACTACTTTACTGATTTATTCAGCCAGTATTATTTTAGTTACGGCAATAATTACTTATTGACCCGTGTATCTATTTTTGTTAAAAACTCAAAGAGTATACTGTGTGGTTTTCTACAGCTTATGTCATCTAACTAGTGTGCTGGGTTTGATTCTGCCCCCCCACCATCAAATAAGTACATACAATGCTCCTGATTCTGATCTGTTGTGGCAGAGGGTTTGAATCTGACAGCTCTGTTCATAAGAAAAAGTAGTTTAATGCCTTTATTTAACCAGTAACAACACTTGTTTTATTTTCACCATCTTTGCTCACACAGACGTCACAAATCTCCCTCAAAGGGCGTTACAATCCTTATCCATACAGCATATGACACCCTCTGTCCTTATCTCCCTTCCTTCTCTGTCCTTACTTTTTCTGCTCATTTGTTTTATACACTCTGTGGTTTCCCCTCTCACATTTCTGTGTTAGTGAGGGACTTTGCCAGCTGATGAACCCAGAACAAACAAACAGATGTTTCTGGAGCTGAAATTCCTTCATACAGATCAGGTCAGGACTTCCCCTGCACTGCAGACAGACTGACACACCCTACACGCCAGCAAACCTACATCTCTGTAGATCATTCACACGTAGTGCTGGTCCTCTTGACATGACTCAGCTGGATTTACAGGAAGTGTGTGTGTGTGTGTGTGTGTGCAGGTTTGGAGTTCAATGTGTGAGTTTACCTGGAAGTTGGTCTTCTCGAGCGACGCCCCGGCCTCCACTAGCAGTCGACACACGGCGTGCTGCTTCTCCGAGGCTGCTTTGTGCAAGGCAGTGTCCCCTCTACACACACACACACACACACACACACACACACACAATTAGATACGTAAGCAATGGGAACTTGCAAATTGTCACAACCTGACATCGCCAGAAAACCACAGCAGATAAAGGAGGAGGTGTGAGGTTGGCATGTAAAACTATCAGGGCATGTGATGTCAACAACGATCTGATGTACACAAAACCTCCACAGAGAATCATAGAGGAAAAACAAAATGAAAAGTACCCAACATACTTCTCTTTGTCTGTCAAATCCAGGAGCACCTTAGAGCCTGAGGAGGAGAGACAGGAGAAACAAAACAAGCTTTGTAGATTTTGATACGTCACAAGGATAAGTCGAGAAAATACACATCACAGATACAGATTGTTTTCATTCTTTAAACTTGTAGTCTTCAGTGACACGGGCCGGGGAAGGTGGGGAAGGTGGGTGCTGAGGGTGCTGCTGTAGCCCCTATTGTCAAGGGGTGGAAATCAGTAGCGTTCACGTGTAAGAGTTCACAAGCTTCCTGTTTCGGCTGCAGATGTCATTCCATGTTTGAACGAGAACATAAAAAGTCTGTTGGAGCCGTTTGTTTACAGGAATAAACACGACTGATTTAAGATGCTTCATGCTGCGCCCCCTTATGATAAATACACACACCATCACCTTCCTGTGAGCCATGTGTACTCTCACCCTGCTGCAGTATGAAGCTGACCAGCTCTGTGTGTCCGTTCTGGGCGGCTATATGTAACGCTGAACAACCTCCGGAGTCTCTGACCAACAAGCTGACACCTCGGCGCACACACTCCGACAGCTGGAGGCACAAACAGAAACAGAAAAAAGAAGCAGATTAGGGTTTAGAAGAAAGACAACAAGGAAATCAGTGCTCCTCATGTGCAGTTTAAATGGGACTGGAGATGAAAACATGGTATGAAACATTTCTTTGTTTTGTTTGTGATTTTTTTTCCTTATCCTATAGCAATGTTCAATACACCATTCAACTTTAAGAACATTCAGCATTCAGCACTACAGAAAGCTGGCTTCATACACTGGCTTTTAAAGGGACAGTTCAACCCAAAATCAAGATCACACATTTTATAATTATATAAATATTCATTTATTTATTTATTTTTTATGGGTGCACTTTTTAAAAAAATATCTTTTTTTTTTCTGAGGGCACTTAAAACAAAAAAGTATTTATTTATTTATTTTATGGAGGCAATTTTTGAAAATAAAAATATTAATCTATTTTTTATGGGGGCAATTTTGAAAAAAACAAAAAAAAATTTCTGGGGGCACTTTTCTTAAAAATGTATTTATTTATTTATTCATTTCATGGGGGCAATTTTCGAAAAAAATGTATTTATTTTTTATGGGGGCACTTTTTTGAAAATCATTTTTTTATGGGGCACTTTTAAAAAAATATATTTTTATGGGGGCACTTTAAATTTTTTTTAACATTTATGTATTTTTTATGGGGACACTTTTTAAAAAATATATTCATTTATTTATTAATTATGGGGGCAATTTCGAAAAAAAAATCTTTATTTTTTATGGGGGCACTTTTTTAAAAATTCTTTTTTTTAAAGGGGCACTTTTTTTTAAAAAAAAATATTTTTTTTAAAAAAAATATTTTTTTTTTAATGGGGGCACTTTTTAAATTTTTTATTTTTTTTATGGTGGGCACATTATTATTTCATACTGCATTTTATATGAGGGGGGTAAAAAAAAAGTTCTCTCCTATATTTTTGGATGTTTTCTTTAATGTGGAAACTAACAAATAAAGTGGAAATCATGACCTGGTTACTCAAGATAATCCACAGACCTTGTTGTGAGCAGTTTCATGGAGGAACTATTTTCTTTCTACTGAACTACACCCACCAACTGCATCACCGTGCAAAACGAAGTGTGCATCTACTGCTAGCACCACTGAGCTAGCTAACGTCACAGCTCAACCAAGGAGGACGCCATTAATGTTTACATCTCTGTCACATATGTCACGAGCCTCTCATCCATGAGCAGATGCACACTTCCTCTCTGTGCAGTGATACATTATCTTGAGTAACCAGGTCTTGATTTCTGGAAAGAGTCATTGATGTTGAGTTTTTCAAACGTATTTTTTGGCTCTTTGAGCACCACAAGCTGAGTGCCATCTAGTTCTGTTATATTGTAGAGAAGGCAGACATCTCTACAGCTGATATCTCCAACACTCTGCAGCTCACACCAAAACTATCTAGACTGATAAACAGCACTACAGGTAAGAGGAAAATATGTAGATTATATTTGGGGGTAACTGTTCCTTTAAGAGTTGTTTTGGGAAATGCTCGTAAATATTTAAGTGTCTGCAGAAAACATTTTCTTAATCAGGATCGGGGCCCTAAAATATAAAGTTCACAGTCTCACAGTGCAGAAAAAACACTTTAGGACAACAAGTATTTAGAACAAATAAAGCGGCTTCATGTTGAATGTTCATCAGCTGGTGAAAAAGAGAAGCTGAACAGACTTTACCATTGACAGATCTCCTGTACTGGCAGCTGTCAGCAGAGCTGTAAACACACACACACACAGATGTCATCATCATGTGAGATCAATCATGCAGAACACACCCTCCATTCACTGATCTGCTGACTTCTCTAAGTTTCCATGGATACACCTCTTTGTCTGTCAACACCTTCCTCTCTTTCTAAAGATATCTGATGACAAACATGAATCATCAGAGATTGTTTTTTACGTCTCCTGCAGGAACTCTCTGAACTTTCAGTTTCACTTTGACACAAATCCACCGCCTGTCTGTGTTTCGTCCAGTCAGGTGAAGGCTGAGCTCGTTTCCTTGTAGTGGAGTATTTTCATTGTCTCTGAAGCCGACTGAAAATAAAATGTACGACAACCAGTTTGTTGGAGTGGAATCGGCTCTGTGGTATGTGCTCTACAATGACATCATGACTCCATAAGTATTTAAGTAATAAGTCATTGTAATTCCTGGGACTCTACGGTGTGACTCTCACATGTCTCAGCGTTTTATGTTTGTGTGTGACAAACACACAGACACGGTTCATGTGAAGCTAAAAATTAAGCCATCCAGCAGGAAATATTGAATCATTCTGAAAAGTGTAATAGGTTTCACATTTAGTTTCTAAAGTGATAACGTGCCCTAAACTACACTTACACATCTGTTTTTAAACCTTTATAAAATGTGTGTGTGTGTGTATGTCTGTGTTTTCTACCTTGTTCATCGGGCGTCAAGGGAACACTGAAAATAACAATGACACAGCCAGTTAAAATGTTTTTCACTCAACATGAAGACAAAATCTTTTCAGTGCAACAGGAAGTGATTCTTCTTTTTAACTTTTGAACAATAGTTGACTCCAAACTGGTAGGAAAGATTTGTGTACACTTAGATCTGTGCAGTGTTTCCCTTTTATCTTTAAGCTTTAGACCAAAAGCTCAAAGAATGAACAGAAACACTTGCACACATGTCAGTGTGTGTGTGTGTGTGTGTGTGTGCAAGTCTTTTCTACCAGTTTAAAGTGAATAAAATCAGAATTAATCTGTTCAATTACACTTTTTCATGTATGAATTCACATTTTGTAGCTCCATATAGATTATGTCTACCATTTACACTCACTGGCCACTTTATTAGGTACACTTTGCTACTGCCGGGTTGGATCCCCTTCATTCAACAAGGTGCTAGAAACATTCCTCAGAGATTTTGGTCCATATTGACATGATGACATCACACAGTTGCTGCAGATTTGTCGGCTGCACATCCATGATGAGAATCTCCCGTTCCAGCACATCCCAAAGGTGCTCTATTGGACTGAGATCTGGTGACTGTGGAGGCCATTGGAGTACAGTGAACTCATTGTCATGTTTGAGATGATGTGAGCTTTGTGACATGGTGCGTTATCCTGCTGGAAGTAGCCATCAGAAGATGGGTACACTGTGGTCATAAAGGGATGGACACGCTCAGCAACAATACTCAGGTAGGCTGTGGTGTTTAAACCATGCTCAGTTGGTACTAAGAAAATCTCCCCCACACCATTACACCACCAGCAGCAGCCTGAAGCGTTGATACAAGGCAGGATGGATCCATGCTTCCATCTGAATGTGGTTTTTCCAATCTTCTATTGTCCAGTTTTGGTGAGAAAACCCGTGTGAATTGTAGCCTCAGTTTCCTGTTGTTAGCTGACAGGAGTGGCACCTGGTGTGGTCTTCTGCTGCTGTAGCCCATCTGCTTCAAGGTTGGACAAGGTGTTGTTGCTTCAGAGATGGTCTTCTGCACACCTTGGTTGGAACCAGTGCTTATTTGACTTCCTGTTGCCTTTCTATCATCTTGAACCAGTCTGGCCATTCTCCTCTGACCTCTGGCATCAACAAGGCATTTTGGCTCACTGGATATTTTCTCTTTTTGGGACCATCCTCTGTAAACCCTAGAGATGGTTGTGCTGAAAATCCCAGTAAATACTCAGACCAGCCCGTCTGGCACCAACAACCATGCCACGTTCAAAGTCACTTAAATCACCTTTCTTTATCCTTCTGATGCTCAGTTTGTCTTCACCATGTCTACATGTCTAAATGCATTGAGGTCCTGCCACATGATTGGCTGATTAGCTATTTGCGTTAACAAGAAGTTGAACAGGTGTACCTAATAAAGTGGTCGATGAGTGGAAATATTATGTTTAAATTCACATTTTCCCAGAGTCCAAAGTGATATCTTTGACTTCAATGGGACATGGTTTCTCTTGTATGTGCTCACATACCCAGCAGTGGGCTCCACCACTAGATCCGGCATCCCCGTGGACGACCCCTGGCTCACCACTGGTCCCTCGTGGTCCAGGATAAACACCTCATCCTGACAGATCTCTGTCACAAAGTGGAGGTGCTCCTACAGACACACACAGAGGCACGTAAATAAATACAAACAGGTGAAACCAGCAAACATGAATCCATTTCCAGTTCAGTGGACTGAGGCTGTTTACCTGAGCCTTGTCGATGCGATAGAAGCGGTCGGCTGATGTGGCTGCAGAGAGAAGACATACAGGAAGCTTATGTCACTTTTACAGTTACTGGGACTGACTGAGTTATTAAAGACAACAAAGATAAACCTGACTCAGACTCTTCGAGGTTCTTTCATATTTAGTTGTGTAAAAAACACAAGATATGAGATTTAGTTTTAATTTCAGGTGTAAAATCTTTGAGTGTTTGTGTCTCAGTCACTCACAGTCCAAGAAGCTCCAGTTGGGAGAGAGTCTGCTGGTTGAACTGGTCCTGGGGACGCCTCTGCTCTCATCCTGAAGACAACGAGACCACACATCGTCATCATCACTTTACTGAACAATAAACTAAAATGCAGAGACGCGTTTACATTTGAAAGGAGCAGCAGAGAGAAATCCAGACAGAGAAAATGTATTGTGCTTATTTTTGAGCAGCTGAACGATCCATAACAAGACAGAGACAATCAGGACGATGAGGCAGTGTATAGTATAGCTAATATATCTGATTATAATATCACTGGTTATATGTACAGGAATGTTTTTTCCCAGTGTGGTGGGCGAGGACTTTACTCAGCATGGGTGTCAGTCTGTAAAAACTACATTTGATTAATTACATTTAGTCTGTTTTTGTAGGTGAATTCCTAATTGAAAGTGTAGTGTAACAAGGAATCTTATTTTAATGCTTTATGTATAATTATTTTTGACATTGTAAGAGTAAAATTCTGGGGCAAAGTTCTTGATATTATTGCACATATTTTAGGTATTGTTGAAAGTCAGATTTAGAATTTTTAAATATGTAGCAAGACCGTGTAAACTGATATGAACCCAACCTTTCCTGCAGAGAGACACCCAAAAGTGATATACCTGATAGTGCACTCTGTGGCCAGTAGATGGCGCCTGGTGTAAGTCCTAGCAAGCACAGCAGACAGGTTTCAAGGTTAACACACAGCCAAAGCATTTACATCAAGAACTTCCACAGATGTTAGTGAAACGTTTCCCACGTGAGACACACAGCTAAAGAGCAGCTCTGCATTCCCACCGGTGCTGGGTACTTCTCCGTCTTTAAACAACGCTGCAAGCGTCATGAAATAATGATGACGAGGAGAAAACAGAAGAGCGGAGAGGAGAAAACAGAAGAAAATTTAAGTGATGTTGAGCATGATAATAGACATAAACAGGGAAACTTGCCTCCTGTAATCTGTCAATATAGAGTCTGCATGTCTCCAGGTCACAGTCGCCCCTCACCACCACAATGCCTACTGGGATGGCTGAAAAACACAAACACGCACTTTGGATCATGATGCACTGACAAGTAGGTTAAACATCTGAGTTTTTTGGCAGCATTTATAGACATTTTATCATTTTAAAAGGTTGATACGTGAAGTTGTTGCTAATTTACACATGAAACAGACGTGACAACATTAGCGTGCTTGTGTTTGTGCCCACCTGATGAATGTAAGTCCTGTATTCGCTCTCTTTTAGCTCTGTTTTTGGTCTCCACCAATTCCTCATGAAGATGTTTTCTTTGTATCTGCTAAATTCTCCACTATGTTCACCGACTTGTTTCCAACTGCATCTGTCTGTTGCTGAGCAGGTAGTGTACAGTGTGTTTTTTTAGACTGGACCATAACAGCAAGCTTGTGGGCTGATAAACCAAAACAATGAGCTAAAAGATGCTAAAACGCCCCCCAGAGTCAAGTTAATCACTGACTCAAATACAATATTCCACTATTATTCGGAATATGACAGTGTTCTGTATTTGATAACAGTCATGTGAACAGGATATTACATTTGGATATTTCAAATTAGGCCTTGAGCGGGATTTATGCTTGTGCACCAGACCCTACACACAGTAAACACACATTAAACACACATTAAACATGGCTTAATAGAGACCATTTCAAACACAAGTACACAAATCAGCTTCACTATAACTCGCAACATTCACAGACAAACACTTGTCTTTATCTGGAAACATTTGCCCTACAAATACAAAACATTTTCTAATATTCTAATATTTTTAGCACAAGTCTATGGCTTTTCACATCGTAGAAATTAGCCTAACAGCTAGCAGACTTTTCCTCTTCTCATATGAAACCAGGGACAACAGCAACATTTAACAAAGGTAACGTTACAAAATTTGGCTCCATTACAACTCACAAGGTTCACAAAACAACTGTCTTATACGAAACACGTTTTCCAAATAAATTTAACATGCTAATGTTATTAGCATAAGCCTATGGCATTTTACATTGTATAAATTAGCCTAGCAGCTAGCAGAGATTTCCTCTGCTCATATGAAGCCAGGATAAATCACACACAAGACTTAAAATGCTATTTTTGAGGAGGCTTTATTGTCTTCACGATTTATTGTTTCCACTGAGGGAAATGGTTTCAGCATACAGAAATAGACAGGAGGTCTGCATCGCTGCACGTCAGGCTACAGTGTTGGGGCTTTTACTTGAGTCTACACAACACACAACCTCGGGCCTGGTTACAGTCAGCTGGGGGAAAAAATGTACCGGACGCTGAATCTCCTTATTTGGAGGAATGTTTCTAGCACCTTGTTGAATCTATGACTATGACACACCCGCTTTGTGTCTATGTGTGTTATTCAGTCATTTTAATTTATTTTATTCATTATAACTTTGCTGTTATGAGCTGGAGGGTACTGTTGGGGGGTGGGGGTGTTAGTGGGGGTAAAAGGGTTAATATTTCTGTTTAAAAAGAAAAACATGACACTCTACTACTGTGTTATCATGTATGCAAATTGCTGAATAAACTTTGGTGTTAAAAGAAAAAGATCCTTACAGATGTCTCGTAGTCGTTCCTTGTCATACTGCAGTCTGTCGTACTCCTGGAGGCTGATCCGATTCACTCGAAGACGCAGACGATCAGGAACTGCGTGAGGGCTGGAAAAAACAACCCACACACAAGTGCATGTACACACGCACACGTGCACACACACACACACACACACACACACACACACACGCACAATTCAAACATGTCCAAACGTACAGTGATGAGGACACACATGTATGCATACATGCACACGCACAGGCACACATAGACACACATCACAAACCAGATTCTGCAGCTTTTACAACATAAGACCATTTAATTCCTCGTCTGTCGTGTTGCGTTTCAGTTTTTAAACTTATAACTGGAAGTTTGCAAAAAGTATAAACAGTAATCAAACTCCTCCCAGTCGCAGAGCTTTTACTGTAAAGGCATGACGCTCTGCTGTCCTCCTGCAACACGCCCCCAAGTCTGTGTTTGAGTCTGAGGCGGGCCAACATATTTTTAACTCAATGTTTGTGGGCACTAATGCCTTCAGCGAGGACAGAGGTTGAATACTGACATCAGAAAACATGGTGGGTGATAAACAAAACTAAGTGACAGATCTACTGTATCCAGCCTCCTATGCTCAAACCCTCACCTGCAAAGGAACAGACAAGGTGTCAGACTAAAATTCATTAACACCACTTTTGTTCTTCTCAGTCACAGCTGAAGGAATATTATAAAAACAGCTTTTCTGAGGGAAGGCGTGGACATCAAGTGAGAGCAAAAGGGCTGGTGCAGGTATAATAAGCTCAGGGTGAAGTTAAAGGTAAAGGGACTACAGCGGGAAAAACATCAAGACAGGAGGCAGAAGCACATTTAGAAGTGGAGATGCTTCAGCATGCTGCCATACACTCTCTTTCTCTCTGTCAGTGCAAACAGAACAACAACTCACATCCAACACAATACGACTCAACTTGGGTTCGACCAGTACGTGTTTATAAAGCCAACACTGACACAAATTTGTTAACTGATGCTGCCAGTTTGATTTACTGTGTGTCAGTATTTAAAACCTTGAAAGTCTTCATGTAGATTGTAACATACATTGACTATAAATGTATAAATGTTACCTTTGGAGTTTTCAGGGTTCCACATCTGACAAAAAGTTTGTTTACAGGAGACATGACATGTACGGAGCCCCTACCAAGGTCCAAAGCTTAAAACTTGTTCCCACAAGATTATTACTTGTTCCCACAAGATGTTAACTTGTGTGACCAAGACAACTTTTTCCCGTAAGATAACAACTTGTTCTCTTAAGATTATTACTTGCTCCCTTAAGATTATTACTTGTTCCCACAAGATGTTAACTTGCCCTCACAAGATATTAACTTGTGTGCACAAGACAATAACTTGTTCCTGCAAGATAATAACTTGTTCCCACAAGATAACAGCTTGTTCCCAGAAGATATTTACTTGTGTGCACAAGATATTAACTTGTTGCCAGAGGATAACAACTTGTTTCCACACAAATTTAACTTGCCCTCACAAGATAACAACTTGTGTGCACAAGATAACAACTTGTTCCCACAGGATTAAAACCTGTTCCCACAGGATAATAGCTTGTTCCCACAAGATAGCAACTTGTTCCCACAGGATTAAAACCTGTTCCCACAGGATAATAGCTTGTTCCCACAAGATAACAACTTGCTCCCACAAGATAATAACTTGTTCCCACAGGATTAAACCTGTTCCCACAGGATAATAGCTTGTTCCCACAAGATAATAAGTTGTTCCCACAAGATATTAACTTGTATGCACAAAACGTCTTCCTACCAAATAATTACTTGTTCCCACAAGGTAACAGCTTGTTCCCACAATATAATGGCTTGTTCCCACAAGATAACAAGTTGTTCCCACAGGATAACTTGTTCCCACAAGATAACAAATTGCTCCCAAAGGATAATAACTTGTTCCCACAAGGTAACAGCTTGTTCCCACAATATAATGGCTTGTTACCACAAGATAACAAGTTGTTCCTACAGGATAATAACTTGTTCCCACAAGATAACAACTTGCTCCCAAAGGATAATAACTTGTTCCCACAAGATAACAACTTGTTCCCAAAGGATTATAACTTGTTCCCACAGGATAATAACTTGTTCCCACAAGATAATGTGTTCCCAAAGGATAATAACTTGCTCCCACAGGATAATAACTTGTTCCCACAATACAGTAACTTGTTCCCAAAAGATAACAACTTGTTCCCAAAGGATAATAACTTGTTCCCACGGCATAATAACCTGTTCCCACAATATAATGGCTTGTTACCACAAGATAACAACTTGCTCCCAGAGGATAATAACTTGTTCCCACAGGATAATAACCTGTTCCCACAATATAATGGCTTGTTACCACAGGATAATAACTTTTTCCCACAAGATAACAACTTGCTCCCAAAGGATAATAACTTGTTCCCACAAGATAGCAACTTGTTTCCACAAGGTAACAACTTGTTCCTACAAGATAATAACTTGTGTGCACCCAAAAATGTGTTTTCCCCAAGATAATAACTTGTTCCCACAGGATAATAACTTTTTCCTACAAGATAACGACTTGTTCCCAAAGGATAATAACTTGTTCCCACAAGTTAGCAACTGGTTTCCACAAGGTAACAACTTGTTCCCCCAAGATAATAACTTGTTTCCCACGAGATAATGACTTGTTCCCACAAAACAGCAACTTATTCCCACAAGAACAATAACCTGTTCCCTTTGTCTGTTTAGGTAATCAATTGTTCCAGTCATTTCTGAGGCACAAAAAGCCAAATAATTATTGGTTCCAGTTTCTCACTGGTTGAAAACACTGCTTCAGTATCACCTGATCAAATATTGGTTGAACCCAAACAGACAAACAAACAAATAAACAAACAATAACAACAACAACAACAACCCTCAGACATTCATAAACAAACCGTTTCATACAGTGACAGAGGGCTCAGGTACTTACACAGAGAAGGAGTCGGGGGGAGCAGAGAGGCGGCGCAGATCAGCTGCACACACCTTCTGAATACTACGGCCGCACACACACACACACACACACACACACAC